GAGTATGGTCCCAAGTGCCAGAAGGGTTACCATGACTACCTGACAATGCTGACCACAACTTGTTTTTATCTACATTGAACAGTCAGCATCATATCATTATCTCTACTGTTAAAAAAAACGGAGTTTAAATTATTCAGTTTCCTACTGAAGAAGATGCCTTAGACTCATCCATTAATAGTCTAAAAATTAGTATTTTAAAAATATATTTACTCCGGTTTTGACCTAAAAAAATATGTAATACATCAAATATAGTGGTGAGGAATATAGTGTTGTTTGTTTTATTTTGTTTGTTTTAAGCGTGTTACTGATAAGCCGTCTAGGATGTTAAGATTCTATAGGAAAATTGAGCCTTTCCATTATAAACCTCTAATTTCAGGAATTTGTAATCTAGCATTAAAAAGTGTATCCAAGGCTGACTTTTGGCATGAGATCCCAGAAGACAGGTAGTTTTGCCTCTATCAAATTTTGAGGTTGGGGGAACTTGCCACTGTTTTTGAGATATAGAAATGTAAACAAACCGATTAATTTTCAGATTGCTTTTATACTTCCATTTGAAATCTGTTTTATTTTTGCAACTGATAGTTTGTCGGCTGTAAACACAGATTAGTGCCTTTGGCTACATTAAGGTTAGGAGGATGGCATGTGAACTCTAAGTCTTTAACTTTGAAAAGTTACCACTATGCATATGCACTACCTAATATCCAAGGAAAAAAACATTTTTTTATTTTTAATCACACTTACTTTATATGATATTAAAATCACTGCCTAGATCATCCCCCACAATCAACATGTAGAGGGAACCTTCCCAGGGCATTTCTCCTCCCTCCCACAGCACCATTTTGCTTTCACTGTGAAAGACAATCCATGAGCCCACAATGCACACTGCAAGTGGGGAGTGAAGTAGGTAGGCCAGAATGGAGGGGGAAAGTGTGGATGGACCAGAGGCAATGCTAGTGGTGGATGAACATAATTTCTCTCCATATCCACCAGTATATTTAGAGATGAGTCAGCTAGGGCCTGAAACTCTGGACCTCCAAACAGATGGCCCCGGGGATCCAGTAGATTTGGGGAAGGTGGGCACAAGAGCTTTTTCTTGAGGAAGAAAAAAAGTCACCTCCTCCCAACAGTGGAGGGATCCTCAAGAAAACTTCTTCCTCAGGATCTCCTCTCCCAGGGTTTATCATGGGAATGGTTTGATCTGGTTCATTGTCGCTACATGACACTGTTGGATATATCATTGTATGATGACAAACCTCATCTAAGAACCAGTCCATTGGATCAAACCACCAATTTTTAGAAAAAGCATATGGATAAAGGCTGCACGATAACAACAACTAGCTTTTACACAGCATTTTTCATCAATATATCTCAACGTGCTTTTCAGGGCAGTCAGTATCATTATTCCTATATAACAACTAGGAAAGCAGAAGCACAGAGATGAAGTCACTCCATCTGCGAGCAACATACATTTAGAGAAAACTGACAAAATATGTATACATGCTAGCCTTTCAGGGTTTGTAGCTCTGGGCAGTATCAATCTTTTTGCTTTACAGGCCTATTTTTGCTGGAAACAGAAATGCAGGGTAAATTATAATCCAGGCTGCTTTACATAAATTGACATAATTTAGCAGTTGAAATAATGCAACTTTAAAAACATCTCTCACATTCAACCTTCTATCTTTGTCAGATATTCTGAACTTTACATTTAGAATTTTAGCGATAAATCAGGATTTTTGATATTTTCAGATTTCTGCATAAGTAGAAATACATTTAAAATAAGACTGAAATTAAATCTGATTTATGTTTTTTGAAAATATGCTTCCTTAAACTCCCTGACTTCATAATTATTTAAATATTTTTTAAAAAATTAGTTGAATATGTTACACACTGCTTATTTTTGCAATTTTCATCATGATAGGATTCATGACGTAGACTCTCTCGTCTAATCACCTATTTTATTTACTACTTTGGATCAAATTCACTATGCTGAGTGGTCCAACACAGAAAGGAATATATAAATACAACCAGATAAAGAAATTTCTAAATCTGGACTATGGCAAGACTGTCAGTATATTTTAAATCTGAAAACCTTTAGTGTTTGCTTTTGCCTTAGCTACTGTCAATGCTGCTCTGTAAACATGTTTTAGGACCATGAGAAATCTTAAAGCCCAAAACATTCTGAGGTTATATCTACACAGCAAATGAAGACGTGGCTGTAAAGCAAGTAAGCATACCCACCCTAGCTTTAATCTAGCTAGCATGAGTACTAATAGTAGTAAAGACATGACAGCACAGACTTCAGCAAGGGCTAGCTTACCCAGGGTCCCACCAAGGTTGTATAGTGGCGAGTAGCCTGCACTGAAAGCCATGTCGCCACATCTTTATTACTATTGATACCTGCACTAGTTAGATTAAAAGTACACCTTCATTTGCTGTGTAGGAGTAACCTAAATGACAGGAACTTTATGAACATTACTACATTTATTAGAGGAACAATATTTGTATTATGCTCTTTTCAAATCACAATGTTCTGAATATTTCATGATTTAATACAAAACATTAAAAGCTTTACAAGATTTTAATGAAGCTTAGTAAAAAGGAGTGAATTGGTGGTTGGAAAGGAAAGAGGAAATATAGATGCCTGTATGATTTGAAGAGCTTCTCTTCTACTAGCTAAGCAGGCATGTAACACAAAATAGGGGAGCAATTTGGCTAGACAAGTAGCTTTCTGCCTGAAATTTGTCATGTGTGGTCTCCTGTCAACATCATTTTTTGGTGTGGAAATCTGGAGTTAATTAGATGTAACATTTTAGAAATGCAGTACTTTGACAAGAAGCCACTTAAGTTTTGAAAAATTGTAAACTGGAGAAGGGGGATTATATCAAAAGATAATCTGGCCTAAAAGACTCATCTATTTAATTCACTGAAAATTATTTCCTAAACATGTTTTCTGGATGAATGGATGGTTAATTTTAGTTATTTACTACAGTCTTCTAAGCTTCTCAAAACTCTATGAGCTCCCCAGCAGATTTTATAAGGCTTGCAGAAGAAAAGGTATTTACCAACACCATGAAACAGCCAAGTTTGAAGGACTTTTAAAAAGTATGCAGGTTTAAATGATGCTATTAGAGCAAGCAAAATATGCTAATTAACTCACCTGCCATCAAGGATATAATCTAATTAACGCACTTGGTAAAGAATATACAGGGCTACTACCATGTTTATCTTGACAGCTTCATCCAAAAAAATTCTCTCACACCCCTCTGCAGCAGAGCTCATTGAAATTCTGCTTCACTGGAAATGCCCTCATTTCAAAATTTGGTTTTGGTCCACTTCAGACTGAAACCAATCCCCCCCGAAAAATAGTGTTTCCCAAACAAAATATGCTCCCTGATCCCCACAGCTGCTCAGTAAAAGGGACATGATTGTTTCACCACTGCTATTCAAGGGTGGACAGCAGTGAAACTGACATGAATCATATCAGCAGCTGCTGGACACCCTGGCCTGGATGCAGACTGCCCAAGGGCCAGGAATCTCAGGGCTCCAAAACTCCTGGACCAGCTGGCTCACTGGGCTGCCCCGCTCCCCCAGCATAAGAAGTCATATCCCTTGAGGGTCAGGCAGCCAGCTGGCCAGGGAGTCTGGAAGCCCTGAGAGCTGGAGTTTTCAGAGCTTCCAGACTCCCTGCTGCAGAGCCAGGGCTCTGAAGATTTCCAGGCTCCCCATGCCACTGCACAAAGTGTGGAAGTATAATCGAGTACTCCTCAACTGTAGCTTACAATGAAGAGCAAATACCACTGCTTGCCCATATACAGTACTTATGGTGCCTTTAGAATGTAAAGTCTTAGTATCAATTATTTCACTCTGCAGTGAAGAATACATCTGTAGTGACACAGACATAATAAAAACTGAACAAGAGCTTTCATTTAATTGAAAAACATGGGTTTTTTTTAATATCGACCTCCAATATTTGATATCAAGCAGGTGAACAGGAATGTGTTGGAAGCATCACAGAAATGAAAGCACATTGCAGCCTCAGCTGCATCCTTCAGGTAGCTTCTGCAACACATTGGTCAGTGGCCAACTTGACAAAATATCAATGATTATGGAGGCCAGCTATAAGGGTATGTCTATACTGCATTGTAAACCCAGGTCTGTGGGACCTGGGCTTGTGAACTCAGTGTGTATGTCTATACTGCGATTAGACATCTGTGGCTGGCCCCTACCAGCTGACTCAGGCTTACAGGGTTCAGGCTAAGAGCTGTTTAATTGCAGTGTAGACATTTGGGCTTGGGCTGCAACCCAGGCCCTAGGACCTTGCAAGCTGTGAGGGTCCCAGACCTCAGCCCAAGCATCTACAACAAAATTAAACAGCCCCTTAGCAGGAGCCCCACCAGCATGAATAGCTAGTAAGGGCCAGCCACAGATGCCTAACTGCAGTGTAGACAAACCCAGTGTTTCCAAGCCAGCGCTCATTGCAAATGTGGGTCCCACAGCCGGACCCGGGCCTCACAGCCGTGCTAACTAATGCACTACTACGCAGACCTTCGGAGTCGGGCCTGCGGCTTGAGCCGCGTCCACACTGCAAATGACAGTGCTTGGATCCGAATACGCCCTGACCCGGGCCCCGCGTACTGCAGCCGTAACCTGCGCTCCCCCGGCCTTGCGCAGGCTCCGCCGCAGCCCCGTGGGGCCCAGCGCAGCTGTGCCGGGCAGAGAGAAGCGGAGCCTCCGGCAGCCCCAGCGCCCCCGTCACAGTGTTGGGGGGGGGGGGAATGGCCTCCCCCGCACAGAGCCAGCGCCCAGCCGGGGCAGGATAACGGGCGGGTCCCAACGGCCCCATCCGGATCGTTATTATGAACGGCAGCAGAGGCAAAGCGGGTCCGCAGTGAAACACCCCCTCCCGGGGGCAGGAGCCGCAGAGGCACGCGGGGGGGGGGGCTGCTCCGCAGGTCAGAGCCGGCTCGCGCTGACTTGGAGCGAAGGGGGGCGTCACTCACCGGCCGCCGCGGTGTTTGTAACCCAGCGCTGGGCAGCTTCCCTCCCGGCAGCGCCTCCGCCTCTCGCACGGCCAGCCCGCCGCAGTGGAGCCAAGATGAATCGATCGCCTGAGAGACGGAGCCAGAGCAATCGAGCGGCAGCCCCGCCCCTCCCGCGGCTTCCTTCTCCCGGCCCCGCCCCTGAGCTTGTTCTCCTCCTCCTCCTCCTCCTCCCCCCTCCCACCAGTCCCGTCCCTTCGCCCTCAAGCGCAGGGCGAGGCCATTGGGGTTACTGGGTTTGAGACAGTGTAGGGGGGGCAGGGAGCTGGGGACAGCCGGGCGGGCCCCTGGGGCCAGGCGCTGTCCAGCCCCACAGAAGGCGCTTCAAGAAATAAAACCACCGAGGATGAGCGGGGAAATGCTGCTGAGAGACGGAATAAAGTAAGAGAAAGAAACAAAATAGGACCCGGGCCCCGCTCCTGCAAAGCTCTGCCAGGAGCTGCAGCGCACAGGCAACCTGCAACTGAGTATATTTTTCTGTTTCAAACTGGGCGTCTGGCTTGATTTGTATAAATCAAGATCTGATAAGGGTCCTGTTGGGGAGGCAGGAGGTTGGATTTTTTTTTACCCATGTCCCAGTCTTCATCCAAAGTTGCACCTGTATAATGCATCCATTTTTAAAAACAATTTTAGATGAGCCTGGGCAAGCCCCTGCAGGGCTGCCCAGAGGATTCAGGAGGCCTGGGGCAAAGCAATTTTGGGGGCCCCTTCCATAAAAAAAAGTTGCAATACTATAGAATACTATATTCTCGTGGGGGCCCCTGTGGGGCCTGGGGCAAATTGCCCCACTTGCCCCCCCCCCCCCGGGCAGCCCTGAGCCCCTGTTGGGAAGAGGTTCTCGACCTGAGAAAGTTATATTGGTTTAACTTAAATCAGTTTTTAAACCACTGTCATTAATCTGATGTAAACCCTGCTATGGACACTCTTAGTTTGGTTTAAGAGGGGCTTATTGTGATTAGTTTACATTATTTTAATTAATTTATTCTAAACAAAATAAGGCCTTGTCTACACTGGTAAGATTCTGCGGTGTAATTCCCGAGGTTAACACAGTGCCAAGCCACTTAGTGCACGGAAACCACCCCGATGAGAGGCTTTCTGCACTGAGGCTACAGCACTGCGGTGTCAGTGTAGACACCCTGGTTGATTACAGCGGGCTTCCGGGAGGTGTCCCACAATGCCTGTTCTCGCCTCTCTGGTCATCGGTTTGAATTCTGCTGCCCTGCCCTCAGGTGACCAACCGTGAGCCCCACCCTGTAAATTCCTTGGGAATTTTGAAAGTTCCCTTCCTGTTTGCTCGGTGACGCGTGCAGTGGTCTCAGCACTTCTTTCCAGGTGACCACGCCTGCTCCACCCATCAGGCGATCCCCAGCTTGGAGCAATGCCAAGCTGCTGGACCTCATCAGTATTTGGGGAGAGGAAGCTGTCCAGTCCCAGCTGTGGTCCAGCCGTAGGAATTATGATACCTACGGACAGATTTCACGATGCATGACAGAAAGTGGCCATAACCAGGACACACTGCAGTGCAGGGACAAACTGAAGGAACTGCGGAACACCTACCACAAGGCGCAGGATGCAAACTGCCGCTCTGGTGCTGCGCCCACAAGCTGCCGGTTCTATAAAGAGCTGGATGCGATACTCGGTGGCGATCCCACCTCCACTGCAAAGACCACTGTGGATACTTCGGTGGCTCATGTGCGAGTCGAGAGTGGACCGAGCCAGGAGGAGGAAATCTTGGATGAGGATGTGGAGGGGGAGGGGACCCAGAGGCAGAGGATGACTCGGAGGTCAGAGATGCATGCAGCCCAGAGCTTTTCTCCACCCCAGAGAAGGCTAGCCAGTCACAGCTGTCGGAGCGTGGTGAAGCGCAAACAAGAGAGGAGGCCCCTGGTAAGTGGCTTTGATTTTGGGAATCGCTGAAGCAAGCTGTTGGGGGCAGGAGGGTTGCAGAAAGTGGGCTTGTGTCTGTATGATGCACGTACCACCACATGCCTAGTCTGAGCGGAGGAACAGAGTGTTGATTGACTCCCTCACTTCATGGGAATCTGCCTCAGAGATCTCCACAAAACTCTCATGGAGATACTGGGCAATCTGCTGCCACAGGTTCCTCGGGAACAGAGCTGCTTTGTTTCTTGCCCCATTAAGGGTAACTTTCCCATGCCACTCTGCCATCACTGGGGGGGTGGGAGGGGGAGACCATTGCTGCACATAGGCAAGCTGCATAAGGACCAGGGCGGAAGCTGCAGTCATGGAGAAGACCCTCCCTTAATTCCCTGCTCACCCTCAGCAGCGAGATATCTTCCATAATGAACACAGCCTGTGGAAAATGTGGGGACAGTAATGATTATAAGGCCCTGCCTACAGTGCTGTCTCTCCCCAGGAGCCACATGCCTAGTGTACTGTAGGGTCCTGGAACACTGATTGCCCCTGCCCCTGCGGTTACTGACCATTTTGGGGGTCTTGAGGCTCCTGTGTGCTTGCCTGGGGTCAGCCAGTTAGTGACAGGTATGTCAATAGTGGCTGTGTTTTAAATCATTGAATCAGTGGTCTGTGTGTTGCAAACAATACTGCTTCTGTAAAATATTGCATTTTGGCTTCACAGATATGACCTTGGGAGCCCAGCCTCCTTCTTTGTTGTTGCCGGCTGAACGGCTACGCAGAATTAGAAAGTGGCCACGAAGAACTAAAGAGGACTTTCTGCGTGATGTCATGATGCACTCTGCGGCCGAAAAGCAAGAATTGAAGGAGTGGCGGGACAGCGAGAAGAGGGACTGAAAGGAGAATGTGGCACATCAGAATGAAGCCACGAAGCTTCAGGATCTTTTCAGGGAGGAGATGACAAAGCACACCCGGGGTCTAAGTGTTAAAGCTTTATTAATAAAATAATAAAATACAGCAGAGTGTGCTGGGAATGCTCCCACGTCACTCAGGGGAAGAAAGAAAGCATTAGAGCCCCAAGCCCTAATCCACTTTCATACTCATACATGCACTACCCAAAACTGGCCAGGCCTGGGTGTAACGTAAGAAGAGGACGGGGAGGGGTGGATGGGAGATCTTGCCCTGGGCCCAGGTTGTCTGGGGAATCCGGTGTAATCTCCGAATTGCTCCAGTTCTTGGGCAGGTTTTTAAGTCCTGGGTTCCTTTGGGGGTGTCATCGCCCAGGGCCCTCTGTGCCTGGTGCTCTTTGTACCAGTCCTAATCGGCTTGCTGTGGCCTTCTCAGCTGCCCAAAACACACCGGGTCCGGAGACTTTGTTTTCCCTTATGTTGGCCTTCACCGTCGCTGCCTCATTCGCTCTGTTTTTGCTGCTATCTTTGCAGCTTTGCTCCCTTTAGTTCTCCTTTTCTCACGACAGGGCAGCTGTAGATTTCTTGTCTGTAGCTTTCTCATCGAGCCCATGACCTTGGGCCGGGGCCAGCATCTTCACACGGAGCTAGATAAAGTGCCGAGTTAACCCATTCTCTGCTTTTTCTCCCCCCCCCGGCCCTTGGCCTCTCTTACTTCTGCAAAGGAATCTTCCATTCCCCATTCACACACCTTTGACCCTCCCCAAAATGCTTTGCAATGCTTGCAACAGCGTTAGCCACATACAATGCTGATCTGCGTTCCCCAGGACTCCCTGAGGGAGGGGGCCATTGGGGTGTGACACTACTAGCAATGCAAACTGAGCAGCTCCGCGCCCACCCTCTTCTGCAGCTGCTGTCAAAAAATTCTTTCCCATGTGCCCCCCCGACACCGCCAACACACTCTTAGCAACCTCCTGGATCCAGTCTGTACCCGCGGCATTCCACTCCTGCCCCGTCACAGTCCAGCCCTGCGGACTCCCAGTACCCACTGCACTCAACACCCGTCCCTCTGCAGTTTAGCCCTGCTGAAGTACAGTACCCGCTGCACTGTACTCCAAAGGACAAGCATTGCATATGATACCTGGACATCCACAAATCTTTAACTGTCCTGGGACCCCACCACCTCCTGGGACCTTCCCTTCCCCCCATTCTCCATAGTGCTGCTGTGGTTTTTTTGTTTCTCTCTCCAGTCTGGTGGTTGTTTTTTAATAAAATAATTGTTTTGGTTTGAAAGCAATCTTTATTTCATTAATTGAAAGCAAACAGAACCCTGCAAAGCAACAGGCAATTTTCTTAAACCTTCACAGTGCATCGTCTGCACCAATCACAATCACCTCCCAGCATTACAACCACTGCCCTCCCGAGCAGAGCAACAAATATTAGTGTCTTTCAGCTTCAAATTGCTGGCTCAAGGCATCCCTGATCCTTATGGCCCCGCACTGCGCCCCTCTAATAGCCCTGGACTCTGGCTGTTCAAATTCAGCCTCCAGGCGCTGAGCCTCAGCGGTCCAGCCCTGAGTGAAGCTTTCACCTTTCCCTTCACAAATATTATGGAACGTACAGTATGCAGCTATAAGCATAGGAATATTGTCATCGGCCAGGTCCAGCCTCCCATATAGGCAGCGCCAGCAGCCTTTAAACATCCAAAAGCACACTCAACAGTCATTCTGCTCTTGGTCAGCCTATTGTTGAACTGCTCCTTGCTGCTATCAAGATTCCCCGTATATGTTTTCATAAGCCATGGAATTAAGGGGTAGGCAGGGTCTCCCAGGATCATAATGGGCATTTCAACTTCCGCTACGGTAGGGTGACCAGATTTCCCAATTTTATAGCGACAGTCCCAATATTTGGGGCTTTTGCTTATATAGGTGCCTATTACCTCCCACCCCTTGTCCCGAATTTTCGCACTTGGTATCTGGCCAGCCTAGGCTACGGTGATCTTCTGGTCTGGGAAGAAAGTCTCTTCTTTCAGCTTCCTGAACAGGCCAGTATTCCGAAAGATGCATGCACCATTCACCTTTCCAGACCAGCCTGCAATAATGTCCATGAAACGCCCACGGTGATCCACAAGCGCCTGGAGAACCATAGTGAAATACCCCTTCCAATTAATGTGCTAGGGGGTCTGGTGCTAGAATTGGAATACGTGTGCCATCTATCACTCCCCTGCAGTTAGGGAAGCCCATTTGTGCAAAGCCATCCACAGTGTCATGCACATTGCCCAGAGTCATGGTCTTTCGGAGCAGGATGCAATTAATGGCCC